TTTTTTTTTTTTTTTTTTGTTTTTAAAAAAGGTTGTCCTCCCCCCCCCCCCCCGCTAGCCAGCCATAAATGGATGCTCAAGTTATTTATAAGGAAGCATCAGATGAGGCCTTTATTGGCAGGTCAAAATACATACTATATTCTTCTGAGGTACCATGTGATTTCAAAAGATTAGCATTCAAAACCAGGTTGTGCATCATTTTGTCTCACCTAAGATAAAAATATTTGGTTTGATGCATAGTTAATTATCTGGCTAAGGATTACATTGATAATACTAACTGCACTGTAGAAACAACTCTGCTCCCTTCTGGGTCATGTGCTTAGTTTAGACCTTCCCAGTTCCCCAAGGATCATATTTAGGAAGTCTGTCTAAATAGGGATTATGCATGGATACTAAGTATTGATTTTGGGTAAGCAGTTGGAAAAGAGTCATTTGTGGAACCAGCTTGTAGGAAGCACCGGATTCATGTGATAAAAGGCAGCCTACGATGCACAAATGGAATCCTTCTTGGAAGCAGAAACTCCCACTCATCTTTGAGCAGTCATTTGCAACATTTTCAATGATGGTCCCAGGTCCCAGGCAAATACAAGGATCTGTTTGTAGTTCTGATTTCTCTTCCAGTTAACAACACACATGCAGACTGCAAAAACCATTTATATGTGTGTTCAGTTTCTAAGAAGCTTGGCTTTGACAAAAAAAGGACTGTGGAAGGCAGTTTCTAAAATACACTCCAATCCTTGCAAACACAAATCATTGGCAAATCTTAAAATATGTGCTAAAATCCAAACTGAGATGATACTTTACCTTCATAAAGTATTTCCAGAGGGGTAATGTATATCTCATTAATATTTCTTCCACAGGAAAACACGGATCTGTGAGCTCTATGCAAAGGTGCTGGGAACACAAGAAGCCTTACATGTAAGAACTTAATTTCCGATAAAATATTGTATATAAGTTTTTAAAAAATAGCATTCATAAAAATGTAGCAGATATGTTCAGTGTGCCTACAGCTGGAGAAGCAAAACTGAAGCTAAATTGCAAGATAATGATTGATTCCAGTCACAGGTCAGGTCAGGACAAGCCCAAAAGTGGATGCAAATTTAATTATTTATTATTGTCAAAATGCCCCTGGGGTTTGCCACAATTGTGTAAATTGGGTAGATGAGGAAGCTGACGAGTGCATATTCAGGGAGGATTCAGAAATTATTTTATGCTTCAAAATGAGAGACATTCTTTAGTCCACTTTAATTCAAGAGAAATAAATTAAACAATTTAAGCTGATAGCTTACAAAAATGAAAACATGAAAATGCTAACTCAATGGTTGATAATTTTAATAGAGTATTCTTGTACCACTCATATACAACGAGCTGGAAATGGGGAAGGAGGGGAAATGAAAGAGTATTGTACTAAAATATAAGAGGACTTGTAGATGAAGTTTTTATTCAGTAAACATTCTGCCTCCTTCACATAGTTTTGTGAGGAATTTCCATATGAAGAAAAGCAAGTTTCAATAGAACCTGTTCTTGGGATTTGTATTCTCTTTCCTGAAAAAAGAAAGATGATTGCATTTTTAAAAAATAGCATGTGAGAAAGAGTTAAAGCATAAGAAGCAAACTGATACAGAGTAATGGATTTGCTCTGTAAGGTATAGCTTGTCTTGACAAAACAGCTAGTCTGACTTGTCCATTTTGCTTTCAGCAAGTGGACATCCATCCCATTTTATGTCTAGGACTTAACATTAAAAGAAAACCTTCCTGTAAATGCCAGGACAGAAGCTCCACATAGTTTGAAAGTTTTATATCAATAGCTACCTGAGTTGCCCATTTGAGATCAAGGAAAATGCCCAACTCATTTGAGTACATTCCTTTGTGAGATCTTCTTGGGAATGTTACAAATTCTGCCCACATCAATGCATGTTGAAGTACACTATGTTTAAAAAGTACTAAGCATAATAAGGAGATGCTATGTTTGTGTATCTTTTATACAGATTTCTAATTACTGGGAACAAAGATGGTTTAACTTTTATACTATCTCTTGCTTCCTATCATCTTTTACAGTATAAACCTACTTTAAGTTTATATCTTTGGAAGTGGTGACATGGGAAATTAATTGATCCAATGTTTTCTATTTGTTTTATAAAGTATTTTCTTTTTGTCCCTTTTCACCATTTGTTAATGCTGTTTGTGTAGCCAGTGCACTATGAAGAGAAGAACTGGTGTGAAGAGCAATATTCTGGAGGATGCTATACAGCTTATTTCCCACCAGGAATAATGACCCAGTATGGAAGGTATGATAACCATAAGTAAGGATGTTACAATTAAGGGGTTAATGAAGAATGTGAAGGACTTCATGTTCTAATTCAAAGAAATTGGTTTAACTTGCTCTATAGGAATAACTCCTGGGAACTGTTCAAATGATTGCAGTATTAGTTAAATACTTATTATCAGAATGATGATGGCATTTTGTAGATGTATAAAGACAACAGATGCAACAAGATAATGCATTTGTAATTGGGAAATATATTTAGGCTGCATGAATACTCCTATCACAACTATCCACAGCTTTTTCGTGGGTGAGCGCCACATATTGCTTTCAGATCGCATAAAGTAGGCTGCATTCCAAAAAGTATTAACTGGGTCCAGTGCAAAAACTAAATTTGATATGGTTTTATTTTGTTTACATTTAAATGTAATTAAGTTTAATGAAGCTTAATATGATTATTCTCTGTTCATATATTTAATAAATTTTATCCTAACTCTTTAAAAACACAGCTTAGTAATAAATTGTGGATATCTCTTAAAGAACCTTGGATTCTTGAAGCTAGGGCTGCAATTCATTCTCTCATTTGGCTATCAGACTTCAGACTAGGCTTGGCTGCAAATTTTTACTCTTCCAGTAATTCAATTCTGCATTCAGGGACTTTATAACTGCAGAAGCTTCACAGGCTTTATATTGCTTTATTGCAGAGAAAGAAGAGAAAGAGAGAGTGGCCCTATATATACATTTAAATAATTTATATGGCTATCCAAAAGTGACTCTGGGTGGTATACAAAGATTAAAACCCAACAATTAGAACAATAACCCATGGCACCCCAGGACACCTTCTAATCATAAAAACACATCAACAACAGAGCTAGTCTAGCTTCCTGTCCTGAATGCCTGAAGAAATGGTCAGGTCTTCACAGCCTTACAAAAGGCTAATAGGGTTGGGGCCATCTGGATCTGAATCTTAAACCTTGTCTTCCTACCCTTCAATGGATGTTGGGCCTTTCTTTTCTCAACCTTGAGATAGAAATACATCTGCTCCATATCTACTCAACAGTTCAGGCTGGCCTGAACTGGTCTGATTCTCTCCTTGTCAGCTTCAGCCTTTATATTACAGTAGGCCTTCCACTGAAGATGGTGACAGCCACTGGAAGGGCTAGAGCTGAATTTTTTTAGCCAGTTTTTCAGGAGAAACGTGGAGGTGGAGGTGGGGAAGAATTGGCAGTGCATTATAATGCTTCAGCAACCATTACAATCTGCATCCTCCAGTCTGCATATCACTGCATTAAAGAAAAGTTTCCATTTCTGCCAACAGAGACTCTTTCCTCTCTTACAAATAGAGGCTTCAAGGGCCAGGGAGAATGTGCATGTTTATTGCATTCAATTAACATCACATCTAACTTTGCCCTGAATATTGTGGAGAAAGTTTCAAGTTGATCAGAAATAATAGATCATAGGTTATGCCATGAATGTGCTAATATTAGGAATAATTTTGCATGGTTTACAATCAGAGGAATGTGTCCCTCAGGCATTTCATGTTCTGCCCTTGCTTTCAAAGGATTCTTCGTGAGCCAGCTGGGAGGATCTTCTTTGCAGGGACTGAGACAGCTTCAGAATGGAGTGGCTACATGGAAGGTGCTGTTCAGGCTGGAGAAAGAGCAGCCAGAGAGGTAGGGAGTGGGTTGCATCAAATTTATTTTACATACATTTTCATGATGATTCTTTGGTTTAATTTGTCTTTCCAACCCAAAACATCCTCAAGTCGGTTTGCATGACTTCCAGTTAAAGATATATGATTTATTAAATTTATAATAAAAACAAGCAAGCAATAAGCACTAAATGTCAAAAGCTAAAACCAAAGAAGCTGGATGTGCATATGTATATTTAGGACTCAAATCAATCCCAGAATATGGCAAACAGAATGTTCTTAATAAGGCATCAGAATATCAAAAGAGGGGCTTCGACTGAGCCTCTCTCTGGAAATCCTGGCCTTGCTCAATCAAGCCCTAAAGTTCTGATGGTAGTATGACTTCTGGTGCTGATGATTTAGAATAAGTCTCCATCGTAATGGACAGAGAATAGGAAACTGAACACTAGGTATGAAGATAAGGCTGCATGATTCTGAGTTAGTCATTCAAAATAATGTATTTTAAAAATGCATAGATTGCTATGTGGATGAGGAGTCCAGTGTCATGTTTGTTATGTCAAAAAGAGATTTGTGCAAATGAATCTGACCTGGCTTGTTGTCTTATTTTTTTTTTTAATGAATTCACATTAATTTGCACTTTTATGTAACTCTCATTTATGTCAATACGATTTGCATATTTACAGTGCCTATAATGCAGAGTTTTTACACTTTGGCCAGAAACAAGATATCTTAATGGACAGTGGAAAAGCTGTGTTGTTTTTTATTTGATTGTTTTGTCCTTAAGACTTAAATCACCTCTTTTTAGGTACTACACTCTATGGGAAGATATTCAGGAGAAATATGGAAATCAGAACCAGAATCACTTGTAAGTATGCAACTTTTTATTTGATGTTGATGATGATGTGAAATAGTGCAGGACTATAACCTGGGGAATCCTCCACTTCTGCCACCCACCACACATATTCTGCTACTAACAAACTAATAATATGTCCACTTTAGGTGTCTTCCACATGCCCAAAGCTTTGTGTTTTCCTCCCAACCTCAAGGCTGGAGGAAAATTTGCCAACTGGAGAACTGTTTCCCCCCCCCCCCACAGTATTCTTCTCATCAATTCTGAGGAAGAAGCCTGGTAGAGTGTCACTGCCCTCCCATAGGGGAGGATGTTACTGAGTACCACCAGCAGCTAGCAACAGCAACAGAGAGTTGTCAACAGTGCCCTAGTAATCAGGGCCCACAGCAGTGTTCTCCAGCAAGCTCAGAGAAAGAGAATTGTTGTGAAAGAAGAGAGGAGCAGAAAAAGCTAAGTTTCTGTGCTTGCCCAGGGGGAAAGAGGCAGGCAACAGAAATGAAGAAGAATTGCATTTCCCTTGCCTGCTCCTTATTTTGACAGCAGCATCAGCAGTTGGCCCAGGTACTTGGCAGTAGGGGAGAGAAGCAGATACATCCGAGAAGAAGGAGGTAGGGAAGGCAAAAGAGGCTGAGATCAGTGTGGTGGGAGGCGCTGACACGTTGCGTAGAAGTTACCAGGGGAAAGAACAACCTGTTCAAAGGTATTCCATTAGGTCAGTAGTTAGTGCCAAAAAAAGAAACATTTTGGGTGCCAAGCCACTTTCTTGTTTTTCTGGTAGACACAGCAGAAAAGGCCACAGAGAGACAGAGCCCCACTGCTGGATGGGAGGAGGTGGTCCTGGAGCCCTGCAGGTCACTCACCTCCCTTAGGCTCCTCCTCCGTGTGGCACAGAATGTTTGCATAGGAAGTTTTCTTCCATTTTCGAATGGAAGAAATGACTCACCTGCTGGATCATTTTGATCTGATTTCAGCCTGCCTCTCAGTAGGCTGACAATGGGATGGAGCCTCTGTTCTGAGGTTATGTCCTTCACAAAGGAAACTGGGCTGCTCTTGAAGCTGGATCAAGGAGTCTGTGGGGATGGGGATTGAGAAGACTTTAGTAGTGAATGCAGTGGTCCTTCCCTGACTGGTGTCCTCATGGGCATCATCTTCATATGTGTCAGTGGTACATGCCAATATTCTGTCATTAATACCTAGAATTAGAGAAAGGGCCATGTGGAAAGGAATGATTTGGTTCTCACTCTGTCAATCCTGAACTTAACAAATGAGCTATAGTGAGTTCATTTCAGGGATATAGTTTAAATCTCACCAACAATATGCCTTTAACAATAGCCATGATAGCCCATATTGTAAACCACCAATTGGTTTGAGGTGCTAAATAGCTTTTGTAAATAAATAAATGATTTCTGAACTCCACTTCTCCACTATAAATTAAGAATATAAGTACAGTTTTTGCAATGTGTGTCTGTTTAGATTAGGGCCGTGCTTAGTTCAAAAATGATTTGAAAGAAGGCTTTTGGACCTTGTGTGCGCATAGCACCTTCCTGCTATTCATTAAGCAGCTTGACTTTTTTCAGGCTTCCATGAAAATCTGTTTAGAGTCCTCAAAGTAGTGTAATCTTTTCATCAGGGTCATGCAGAATCCTAAAAATAAATCTGACACTGACAAAGCTGCTCACATGGGGCCTGAAGCACTTCACATCATTTATGAACCATGCACTATCCTAGCATGGATAATTTTTAGATGCCTTGCATGCAACTGCTGCATGATCTTGGGAAAGCTGCAGCAGTTTAAAGCTTAAACAAGAAGCAAATATTCAATAGTGATATTACTTGGGGAAGGCTAACACTACTGTATTTGGCCTTGTGCACCACAATGGGAAGATCATTCCACGGGCAGGTGCAATCTCAGAAAAGATCTGGTTCCATGTTGCCACGTAACAGCATTTTGCAGGCCAAGGGATGGAGAACAGAATTCCTCCAAGGATTAAAGATGTCTGGGGGTGTGATTAAAAACATATCTGTGTGTGTGCACGCATGTGTGT